GATGATTACGCAACAAGCTGTGTAGTGGTGGTACAAATGTGTTTGAAGTTTCATTAAACTATACTGATCAGATGAGAAATTATGGACGGGACAAGAACAAACCTTGTTTTAACTTTGACCTTGATTTATGGCCTTGACCTTGGAGTTCTGGTGATGAAAATCAAATGCGACACCGTCTTGTAATGATGCACAAGTGTACAAAGTTTTGGTACATTATCTTGAGCGGATCAGAAGTTATGGGCAGGAGAGAAAGCTTACGGACATGGATGGGACTACACTAGAATACGTTCGCCTTGGACGGACGTATGAAAAAACCAAACGTCCCTAATCTAGAGTCATCACCTGTCCTGTTTAGGCCACATAACCTAACGGGTGGAGAATTTTTAATCGCAATTCAGAAGGTGGGAAATGACCATTCATTGGAATGTTGTTGTTTTTTAAACCAGAAAAAGGCCTCACTTCGGTATAGCTTATAAGATTTTTATAAAATCGGACATTGATCCAGTGAGTTTGTCTTCCAACATTCTTCCAGCATTTTTTTATGATCATGCGTACAGCACTTGGACGTTTCTTATGGAAGACCCTGGAGCAGAGCTACCACGAAGTCAGACGTAAAGAATATCGAGCGCCTCCCATCGTCGGGGCTCTTGTCTCGAACAAAGATGTGTGAACTGAGCGACGACAACACACGGAAGCATAATAGGACAAGCATGCCATCACAAGGGCAGGACTTACGAAGCCTCCAGGTTTTGAAGACTAGAGTAAAGACAATCAGTTATTGACCATGTGGAAAATACATGCATCTTCAGTCAGTTGCGTCCTTTGTTCTGTTTGGGTTCTGCATAGCTAGAAGGATTCCAGGTCATTCTGCGGCACATTATGCCAGTCTATCGCTGAATCTCCTTGTGTCCGGTTCTGGCGTATTTTACGCCAACATTCACAATTCCATTTAAGACTTTATGTCTTAAAGTCATTGGTTTGTAGTTCTACATCCAACGTTTTAGATCATTTTAGATCTGCAGATTAAAACATCTCGTCCTTGCCTGCCGCTTCAGCATTTCTTGACCAGACAGTGTTTGAAGGCAGAGGGACGGGCGTCCAGAGCACAACCCTTAGACAGTTTGTCATCGCGGTCCTTACACTGCACTGTCCGGCTCTGCCAGCCCATATCACAAGTCCTGGAGCATGTCATCCAAGTGCCTGTTATCCACCTGGGCCCTGGGGTTGGGGTTGAGAGACCAGGAGGTGTAGATGTTCCTGGGACCGGAGCAGGGGTAATAGAGGAAGACGTAGTAGTGCTAATTGTGGAGGATCTTGTTGTGGTAGACGTCATCGCAGTGCTCTGTGAAGGGATCGACTTTGAAATTAATGGCTGACGTTGAGCTGTCCACCGCGGCATAAAGAAGCTATAACGGACATCGAGGGACTTTTTGGCATCTGTTGCTAGGATCTGGACCATTAAAGGTTCTTTCAGAGCCCCGGGGCCCATGCTGTGGAGCCACTCATCGTGCTGGCTCCAGCCGCTGTAGTTGAGCAAAGAGCTGTTGAGCGGGATGATCGTCTCCGAGGTGGAGATCATGAACTTGCCATTTAGGAGGTAGTCACCATTGGTTCGTCGAAGAGCCAGGTAGGCCGTGAAGCGGGTCTGATCCTTGACCTTGTGCTGACGGACCTTGATGTGAGTGGAGCCTGTGGGAATCTTCACTACGTCGGTGTAGCCCTTGCTGTTTGTTGAGACAGAGCAGAGAAGGGGTCAGATTTATGATGCCAAATGAGATCACAGAGAAATGTGGAATCACTTGGAGCCAAATACCTCTATTACATTGGACTGCAACTCTTGGCAACAAGTTGGAGACACAAAGTTGTGAGAAAATAATACAAATTTTCACATGAATTGGTACTTAGGACACATTTGCCTCTACAGGTATAAGTACCAGCAACATTCCTGCAACTGATGGTAAATGTATTTGTTGTAACCGAGTCTCAAAGTGTCCTGATCACAACTCGGTTCCATGAGTTCTCGGGTTGCCAAACCAGTCCCAAAATCGCCTAGCGTTTCTCACTATATCTGACTCAAGAAAACTAAACTGAGACCGATTTGAGATGGACTAGACATCTACACAAATAACTTTTTAAAACAATGTATTTTCTGAGCTTCTTGACCATGCTAAAAATTCCTGCTAAATGAGAGCTCGTCTAAAGAACTGAACCACGGAAACAGAGAACACCTCGCAAATATTTTGAGACATTTTGGAAACTCCCTCACGAAGGGCGTTCGCGGTTTGTCACCAACAGTAGCAGCCCAGTCAGACATAGAACAGACTTTACGGTTGCAATTCTTGACCATTTCTACCGGCATTTGTAAAATGGAACAAAACTTGAGGTACAATTATAGCAAATGTTCCATAAACTTCAACAAATGTAACGCATATGCCACATTATACGCCCTTTCGACAAACTATTATACAGCAATCTATTGAAGTGGCCTGGACAAGCAAAGACCTTGTATAAAATTTGACCTTGATTTGTGACCTTGAAGCCAGGGTGCCAAAAATTGTACGCAACATTTTGTCAGACGTTATGCATGGGACAAAAACAATTTTGACCTTTAAAACTTCTGGTGCCATTTCTGGGTGTACAGCTGGACTACTTCCTCAGTAGTGACAACTATTGTTTAGGACGAGAAGTGCAGTGAGCATGATGCATTCAAATCTTTGGTACGAGTGGCAACTCTGCTATGCTGATGACACAACTCACTCATGTCTGGATTACCAGATTTGTGTCAGAAAGATTGTAAACTCTGTAAAAGCAGCACTGTGACTTTTTCCCCCAGGATTTACAGTCAGTTGTTTTGAAGTGTTACCTCCTCTTTGTGAAGTTCCCAGCCACCCGTATACACGCTGTGCTGTCCCCTCCACATATACCACACTTGTCAAACTGGAGCCTGGAGCCAATGATGCCATCGCAGCCCGTTCTTACACATTTCCCCTTTACACACACCGAGCTGCTGTGAGGGCGACACTCCGTTCCATCGATCACCTGAACACAGAAATTGATACCGTCGCCATTATCCTTTGTATTTTTACACACACACCACCATCGTGCCGCTAACTCACCCTTTGGGAGAACACCACATAGTATCCCGTTCCTTTTGCTCTGCAGGTTAATTTGCACACGTCTTTAGGGAGAACTCCTGCATATTTAGGCAACCACTCGACAAAAGTCTTCACTCCTTTAGGGTCCGTTTGGGGACCGTTGCGGACTTCACACTGCTCCTGACGGAAACTCTTGCCTGCCGAAGAGTTGCGTTGAAGGAGGTTAGTACTAAAAGGTGAGGTTTTTTTTATTTTTACAGTCTGACAGTCACGACTGTGTCGTCTTACTTGATGCGGGGCATGGAATTACGTTGCAGGATCGATAGATGGCTCTTTTCCCCGTGCAGTAGCGCCCGTTGTTCCGGGGTGGCGGGTTGTTGCACAGGCGCTGGGCAAACTGCACTCCGCCTCCACAAGTTCTCGAGCACGAACCCCAAGGACCCCAGGAACTCCAGCTACCATGGTTAGACACCTTGGAAAGGGAAAAGCCAAGCAATTAGGTAAATGTGAGGGTTGCGTAGATATTAGACAGAAGAGTAAATACTGAAGGAAGGAAGAGGGTTAAGAGAAGAGTACCACATACGGCAGGTTATACCCCCATTGACAAACTATTATACAGCAAGCTAAATCAATGGCCCAAACGGCTGTGGTAGCTCAGTGGTTAATGCCATGGTCATGTAATCCTGAGGTTGCGGGTTCAAGCCCAGGTTGCATCAGGATGGGCATCTGGCGACAAACAAATTTCCACTTACATGCGAGTTTGCTCGCTGTGATACCATACCATTTTATTTATAGAGCACTTAAATCAGCGACAAGGCCAACCAAAGTGCTGTAAAGACAGAACAACAGACAACACACGAAGCAAAATACAAAATGAAGTAAATTAAGTAAAGAGGTCGAATAGAGCATGTACCATTGTGTCTTAGGGGGAAGTACATTTGACAGTCGTCAGCATAGAAGTGAAAGGGTATGTTGTGTTTCCGGAAAATAGCACCAAGTGGCAGCAGGTACAGAAAGAATAGGAGGGGACCCAGGATGGACCCCTGTGGAACCCCCCATTTAAGCTCTGTCGCTGCAGAACTAAAATCCTTGATGGAGACACAAAATGATCTGTCAGTGAGGTAAGATCGGAACCAATTGAGGGCTGACCCTGTGATGCCCACCCACTGCTCCAACCTAGCAATGAGGATCTCATGGTCGATGGTGTCAAAGGCGGCTGTGAGGTTCAACAGGACAAGCAGGTTAACTTGCACACGTGATGACCCCTGAAGAAGGGAGCAGCCAAAAGAAACGTACAAAAGCAATGGTCCAAACAAGCAAAGACTTTGTATAAAATTTGATCTTGATTTATGACCTTGATCTTAGAGCTAGAGTGATGAAAATATTATGCAATACATTGTCTAGTGCTACAAATTCACATCAAATTTTATTAAATTACCTCGAGCAGATCAAAAGTTATGGTCAAGACGAGCAAAGACCTTGTTTTAACTTTGACCTTGATTTGTGACCTTGGAGTTGAGGTGATGAAAAGCATGTGTGATAGTTGTTCTAAAGTTCACTCTGAAGAGCAACCAGAGTCAAATTCCTCAAACACTAATTTTATTTCCAACCACTGATGAGTCATCAGAGATGAAAACGACAGAATGAGCAGAGTTTAGCACTTTATGAGGCAAAGTTTGCGATCATAAACTTTGGAAACAAGTTTTCCATTTACTTCCACTAGAGTCTTTAGAGCACTTCTTTTCATTATAAAAGACTGAAGTCTACAATGGACAGAGGTGGTGGGGGTAGGGGGGGGGGGGTGGGGGTATGTCGTGAGCTGTAAACTGGGAGGCAGTGAAAAATGAAGCCACTTGGGCCACGTCCACTCGTGCAACAGTCTGCCAAACATCGACTTAGACTCTTCCAAACATCATTTGACAAATAAATATTTCCCCCCAGTGCTTTCTTTGCTGTTCTCGATTCAAACCCAGTACCGTGATCCTGCCAAGATGAGATCTGGTGTCTTTAGACACAAATTGAATTTAAATGTGTACAGACTAGACCACACAATGTCGCTACACGGAGGAATCTAATCCCGGATTCCAACTTACGGAGTAATGCTTCTTTCGGGTCTTGTCCACACACTTTCCCTGCAGGCAGATTCGACCCTTCCCGCAGGGCGTTCCTTCCACCGCCGGCAGCTTCTTGGTCAGACACACCATCTGTCCCTGGCGGATGACCGCGCACCACAGCCGAGAACATACGTCCATGCCGGGGCAGACGGTGTACTCGGGCCCGAAGGCCAAGCGACACTGGCGGACGGCGTCGTAGCTCTGGCCTGGGAGCTCCTCTGGGCCCAGGAGTGGCTGGTGGGGCAAGTCGAGGAGACATTCGGCTGGTGGGGCATAAAAAATCCACAATAACGTTAATATTTTCGTAAGAGAATCAGCACAACTTTTCTTGAAAATGTAAAGAAAACGAAATTATTCTAGCTAAATCTAACTAATCTGACCAAATGGGACTTCTGCTGTCTTAAAGTCATTTCAATGTTCATTTAAACACCGTTTTATGATACATTCATTGGTACCTCTATGGTAGGGGTGTCCAATCTTGGCTCTTGAAGGCCACTACCCTGCATGTTCTCAACGTTTTTCTGTCCTGACACAGCTGATGTGAATCAATGGGTGAGAGACCTCTGCAGAAAACGAAGAGGTAATTTAACTATTGAATCAGGTGTGTTGGAGCAGGGAAGTAAGTAAAACATGCAGGATGGTGGTCCTCAAGGACCAGGATTGGGCACCCTTGCTTTATGGTCTGGGCCAGGTTGTCGGTCTGGTCAACACTGAGTCTGTTTCTCCAAACTAAGGTCATTCAAAAAGCTATCTACAGGTAGGAAAGCCATGACTCCTTGTGTTTTAGTCTCCACTACAACCGATGTACGTCATCGTCCCAGAATGCATCACGCCAGTAAAATAATGGCAACGTTCTTAGGTGAAATAGTTTTTTAAGTAATTAGGAGTTTTCACGTGTCACAAACAACGTTTAGTAGAATAGAGAAGTAGCCAGTGTATGCAAGTAGTCTGAGATCCCCTTAATGATGCATCGAGTAAAGAAAGAAAAGCTACAAATGACACGGTTTAGGTCGTTCCGGATCAAAGCCATGTGCGAGATGTGGTGCTAAATTAGGTCTTTACAACCCTGCAGACCTTTAGTTTGCACCAAACAGACATACCGCAATAAAGGAAAGGGGAAACCTCAAACATCCCAGACCTTTAAAATGTCTGCAACTTAGACCTCCATAAAAATCCTGGAGCAAGAGCGGGAGATACTGCCAAGCCTAAAATTATACTGTTGGAACATGAATTATGCCGAAAGCCTTGGAACTGCTGAGCAAAGCGTCAACAGCAGTGTTTTATGCCCGACATGAATGAGAATGATTGATGAAACTGGACAACGAAGTATGACTCATTCTGATTTCTTTATGGAAGATAATACGGCTGTAAATAGCTGTCGATTAGAGGTTATAGCTTTTTCTTGCGGTCTCCTGTCTCACCGTTGCCGTCATCGAAGAAGTCGGTGATGGTTGCCGAGGTGCAGCGGCTCCAAGGTTTGGAGGCGTCGATGGAGGTGAGAATGGAAGACATGAGCCGCTTGTCGCTGTTCACACCGAAGCGCTCCTCACAGAACTTTGAGTCATCGTGGGACAAGCCGAGGAGGTGACCTGAGGATGCACAAAAAAGGTTTACCGCTGGATATTTAGAGCCCAGAAACACAGCAGGCTACATTATTCTGAAACAAAAGGAGAATTATACACACAGCCAACAGGCCAGAGCTGCTCTGAATGAGGCCTTTATGATTCAGGGGACAGACCGAACCCGGTCCTGACCCAGAGGCACATGGCAGGGTTCTGGGAACATGTGATAATCAGACTACGAGATGCAAAATTCTCTGGTCTGATAAATGGAAATCGAGCTTTTTGACTAGAATACCCAAAGGTTTGGAGAGCAGATTCTTTAAGCACCACATCCCTACAGTCAAACATGGCGGTGGCAGCATCATGATGTGGGGATGTTTTCTACTACAGGGGTTAAGAATAGCCAATGGAATATGTAACTAAACTAAGTGAAGGATCTGAATAGAGTTTTTGATGTCAGATCAGCTGGTCATCAGTCAACTAAGTGGTACATCCTCAGGTATTTTGGTAAGTTTTCAATAAATTTCTTTATAAGCTCGTTTTTTTATTCAACTTTTCTTGAGAACTATATGTAAAAAAATGAGCTGACACTGTTTCAGAACAGCTTCAGATCATAATAAAATGTTGAACACGTGAAAGCCTCTGCACCTCTGACAGGACTTGTCTTGAATACGTTAGTGCCGAAGGAATGAGAAAAGAAAACATACCGAGTGCTCCGGTGGATGACGTGATGCTAATCCACAAGAGAGATGAGCAGACAATGTGCATGCCCCGGCGTGATTGTGTTGTTTTATTCTGGCGAGCGTGTCGATGCCTACCTATCTCGTGTGCGACTGTAAACGCAGCGTGAAGCCCGTCGTCCTCGATGACGGCGCAGCTTCTCTCTGGAGAGCAGATGGTACCGACGTCCGCCATGCCCAGGGTGTCGCAGGAGTGGTGGCCACAGAGGTCCTGAACAAAGGAAACACAAAGACAATTGTCAGATTTTTGTTACTGGGATGGATTTTAAAAGGTTACTTTATGTATTTGACTCAGTATTTCATCTCAACATCCATCCATCCATCATCTTTACCCGCTTCTTCCTTTTCTGGTTGCGATGCAAAATTATATTGGGTTTTTCAGACTCAGTCAAGGGGGAGACTTTGCCTCAGGTACCTAGGTGTCTTGAAACCGAGTGATGGTAGGATGGAGTGGGGGATGGATTGATAGATCAGGGCCTGGTCCTCAGTAATGAGGGCATGGCTTTGGTCAGCCATAGTGAAGAAAGAGTTGAGTCTAAAGGCAAAACTCTGGATTTTGTGGTCTGTCTATATTGCAACACTCACCTGTGGTCATGAGGTTTGGATCATGACCGAAAGAACAAGATCCCGGACACAAGCAGACCATAAGAGCCTCTTTTGTAGGGTGGCCAGTCTCAGCTTTAGAGAGAGGGTGAGGAGACTCCTGGACAATTCCCTTTAGAGATTTTCTGGGCCTGACCTAATGGGAAGAGACCCCAGGGCAGAGCCAGAACTTACAGTAGGGATTATGCATCTTCTCTGGTCTGGGAACGTCTTGGGGTTTTACAGTAGGAACTGGAGTGTCACTGGGAAGAGAGAGATCTTGGTTTCTCTCCTGAACCCGTTGCCTACGTGACTCGACTACAGATAAGCGGTATAAGATGGTGATCAATTTTTATGTGTATATCAGTTCATATTTTGGCCTCTGGAGAGGGGAAAAGTTGTCACATTGTCGGCTGTTCGTGCCATTAAATCCAGCCAAACTTTAGCCAAGTTTTTTTTAATCCACCGCTGCAACCTTTTCATCTCCAGTACTGATCCGTTAAACCAACTGATTATTTAGGTCAATTGTTTTCTCTTTTTAATAACTGGCACGGACTGTGCCTGGTTATTACTAAACTGATTAAAGATACAGTATATCCGTGGGTGTTGACACTATGTCCTTGTCTCGATGCACTTCCCGTGGTGGTGGTATCTTTAACAATGAACGTTTTTTCTTTCGGTTGCATCACTAGAAGACCACAAAAGAAGTTGGCCAGAATATTATATTATTTGGACACTTGAGAACAGGGGTCTTCAAGAGCCAAGGCTTCAAGAATCAAACAAAACACTGGTCTACACCGCTGTAGCGAGTCCCACACTTCTCTACGGTTCTGAAACGTGGACCACCCACCACAGAAGACAAAAATGGTTGAAACATTTCCATCAGCGTTGCCTCTGAGGCCTTTTCAACATCAGCTGTGTGGACTATCAAACCGACATCAGTGTTCTTGGCAAAGTCAGAATGACGTGTTGAATCCATCGTCATCAAAACAACTTCGATAGAGTGGTTAGTGTGTCCGAATGCTTAAACAGAACCGAGTGTCCCGCCTACACCCCCCACCACCACCATCGGCAGATAGCTCTGCTACTTCCAGATCAGGGGAGCGGATATTGTAGCAGCTCAGACCTAGCATTAGTACTGTAACGCTTCAATACACTATCCCCATCAGCAACTGTCAGCAATACTAATTAATGTAACGCTCCACTCACTACCTCCACTCGACAAACGTTGACAAGGCGAGCGCCCTCTCCTAAGGCAAGTAACTGTATCCATCATCTTTAAAGTTCATGCTCAATCATCCAGGTACTTCGCTCCAGCAAACTACTTGGTCCACTTAAGGAGTGCACTGCTTGGTGGGGAAACAGTTTACTTGGGACTCCTTAGACTGATGAAGCCCTCCAGATAGATGGCGAAACATCTTTCTACAAAAAAAAAAAACTTTCCAGATGAACTGACTGAGCATTAATGGATTTGGTACTTGGATGATTGAGCATGAACTTTGATGTCTTGAACCACTTTGGCTGTGGCTGCCTGCCTGGGAGGAGTCAACAGGGGCCAGGACAGCCCCCAGAAACCATCTTATCTCCAGCAAACTGGTTGGTCCACTTGAGTGTACTGCTTGATGGGGAAACCGTTTACTTGGGACACCTTCCGGATAGAGGGCGAAATGTCTTTCTACAAAAAAGAAACTGTCCAGATGACCTGACAAGAAGGACAGCATTATTGGATGTATCCATTGTCTTTTACCTACTTCTTTTCCAGGTCATGGGGGTCACTGGTCACCATATCCAGCAGTCACTCTGCGAGAGGTGGAGTACATCCTGGACAGGTTGCAAGTTCTTGGAGATCCAGTGCATTGTAATGTGTATTAATGATAAACTGAAATTTATAGTAAAAACACAGAAAATGGCTTTACAAATGGGCTATTCGATGCCCTAATTTCTAAAAATCAACAATGAAATTGGCCTTTCATAAACCCTAACCATTCGACCTTTAATGTTCAAGCTGTAGGCGTGAGTTGGATTCCATCCTTTATACCCACCACCATCCCCTCTGCCTTTCAGAGAGCATTGATTCTTGTTTTGACCCCCATAACCTGGCCTCGCTGAGAGCAAAGATCAATCAGCAAATCATACCAACAGATCAGTGCATGCATGCCTGCACTTCAGCCCCTGTGCATGCTAATGCAATGGGCTCAAAATGCACATTTAGTCTATTAGGAACATGCACTTAACGCCCCGCGGAGAGGATGAATCGTAACGTTAAGTGGTGCTGACAGGCCTGCTGGGCCATGTGTGAGAGGCTCTGTAGGGAGGGTGTTTACCCGTTGCAGACCAATCGGTTCGGAACAAGCTGCCTTGTGTTGTGCACTCACACACATGACCGACTGGGTGGGACCACCTTACACACATAGATAATCACATTTAAGTAGGTACTTGCACATTCAAAGGATATATAAAGCACCTTGGTGGACACAACACATAGTTATAAACTGTACAGGAAGACGGCGGAGCTTTTGGATACATGAGAAGCAAACAAAGGCTAGCCAGCTAACCAGCGATGAAGTTACCTCAAATTCATTTATTCATCTGCTCCAGGATCTTGTATAAAAGCAGTTTTTCTTTATGTGAACACAAATGTACATTAGTACCACACAGGAAGCATGTGGCAAAAAAAAAGAAGAGGAGGAAACTCCCATTAAATAGTTAATTGGGAATAATACCTGAAATGACCCCAAAACTCACGTTTGCTTTTCTACCCCATCTCCTTGGCCAAGTCTTTGCTGAGACTTGCTTTCATTCAAAGGTTTTAGAGACAAGCAGAAAAAGGAAGGATAGGAGGGAAACAAAAATAAGTCCTGGTATTAGACGCCAGCGGGGGAAAAAGTTGGTGTGGTGCCGGAAATTAAGGAGAAGAACTGAAAAAGCAGGGGTTACAGTAATATTGGCAGAAACAACCGGAGAGCAGGTGGGGAAACTGGCAGCAAAGGTCAGGAGACGATCACAGCTGTGCTTGTGTATGTGTGAGGTAGGTACAAGACCACTTGAAATCTAAGCCAGTGCTGGTGTTAAACAAACAGAGCCAGACGCTAACGCACTCACGAGTCCCTCTTGCAGAGAGGTGAGCTCTGAAATCCACCGCCGACTCCAGCAAACCCAATGAAAAGCAGCTATTGACTAGACAAACAGTCTGGCCCACCAGTGATTATGAGGAACAACACAGATTTATCAAAAGGTAATCAGCAGCAAATTGGGTTCTTCAGTACGTTAGTTTGACAAGACACTTGAGTAATGGCTTTAAAAACGGCAAATTACACGCAGTTAGAAATAAAGCTAGCAGTTGAGTTCTGCAAATGAAACGTATCATCTGTCCAAAAATGTTTAGTCAGGTCATCTGGACCGATTCGTCCTGGCTGAAACGTTCCGTCTTTCATCCGAAAGACTTCATTAGTCTGAGGCCATGCAACAAAACTTAGTCTTATAAATAGCACCTTCTCAAAAGGGGATCAACCAGTTTGAAGGGAAACATCCAGAATTATCATCTTGATGCACGCTCAATAATACAAGTGGAAAAATCTGAAACAAGTTCAGTCAGTTCCTCTGGATAGATTCTTCTTGTTGAAATGTTTCATCTTTTATCCAAAGGACTTCTTCAGTCTGAGGAGCTGCAACAAACTCAGTCTTATAAATAGCACCGTCTCATAGATCAGCCAATTTGTTGTTGACATCCAGAACCAGGTGTTCATATGATGAAGGAGGACCATCAGCCTAACGACTGATCGTTAGTGCCCTGATGGCCGCTTGCTATTCACAGAGGACTGAGTGATACTAGCAATAACTGCATTGTAAGAGTGGGACAGTTGGACACGGAGGCTCCGCCCCTTTTTAACAATGGACGGTTTCTCTTCACTCCTCTCTCAAACCAGCATTCCTCTCTATCTCAGGGTGTTTATACACCCGATAGTCCGATAGACTCAGTTCTATTGGGGACCAACATTCATAACATTTGTTTACATTTTCAGCTGGTGTGGTTTATTCACGCTGCACTGAGTCAATTGAGCCAACCTGTTCCCCTCCTCGCCTGAGGTGGCGCTGCACCAAGAACTACTGAAAGAAACGACACAAAAACCTCTGAAGAAGACACTTCCTCTTGAAATAAAAACAAAAACGGAGTGGCGTCAAATTTTAGCGGTTTTAGGAGTTCTGTTTTGTCATTTTTCAACAATGGGCTCAGCATGAGTGGAAGATGAGGCAGAAGACCAAGGCGGCTGACGGCTCCGTATGAAGTAAGAGAAATGCTCGTTTGTTTGCCCTGCGTTGTAGTCCACTTCCTGCTTTTGGAATGGTCTCCGGTCCACTTGCACTTTGCAAGATGGCACAAAAAAAGAAACCGTCCAGATGACCTGACTGAAAAATGTTGGATTTTATACCTGGATTATTGAGCATGGACTTTGTTGTTTTCAACCAGTTTGACAAGACTGTCAACAAGGAAGAGGGCCGGCAATGGAGGAGGGCCGTACCAAAGAGACCATCTTATCACAAGCAGAACTGGTTTGTTCCACTTTGGAGTAAGCTGTTGGGGGAAGAATCAGTTTTGTTGTGCGTTTCCTTGACTGATGAAGCCTTCTG